GTTTGCTCTACTTGCCAATTAGGTGCGCAATAGATCCACAAAGCATAGCAAAGCACAAACTCTCACTCGTAACCTCCCTGGAAATTGTTTGCTTACCCGCTCCTTTTTGCAGGGCTGTGTTGCCTGCTGCTCCTGCAGCTGAAAGCCATGGAGGCCCACAACACTTGAGCAGTGACCAAAGCCTTGGTTGATTAGTTGTATGATTTGGGGCTACAGCGGCTACAACTGGCTACAACTACTTGTTTTATTGAATTTATTGGAGATTATGCAACATTACGGGAATTGCTGTCGACCGACCAGTACAAAGTGATGAAAGGGATGGCAGAGGGCTTTGAACACTGCTCAATTAGTTTGAGAGTTTTCAGGTTTTCCAGTGTCACACTTTGTCAGGTTCCTATCAATAGCCCCTTCCAGGCTTGTTGTTCCGTGCTGCTTTGCATGAATGTAAGCTTTGGCGTTCACTTTACTGTATAAATAATATATATATACATACACTGTATATTATATGTTATATATATGCATGTATATATATATATATCTATTTATATATATATATATATAATTATCAAAGGAAGTTGGGAAGCAATACTTCCGTGTTACAGACAAATAGAATTGTGAGACTTGACATTGATGAAGGGTGGTGTGTGTGTGTATCTTTTGCATGACATAACAATACATCACAAAAGAATAATAGGCTATGACACAGGGTGGTGTGAGACTTGACATCACATAACAATACATCACAAAAGAATAAGAGGCTATGACGCAGGGTGGTGACGAAGGGCAGTGGTGACCTAGGGAAATGGTGACGAAGGGAAATGGCGAGGAAGGGAAGTGGTGAGGATGGGAAGTGGTGACGAAGGGAAGTGGTGACGAAGGGAAGTGGTGAGGAAGGGAAGTGGTGACGAAGGGAAGTGGTGAAGAAGGGAAGTGGTGACCTAGGGAAATGGTGACGAAGGGAAGTAGTGAGGAAGGGAGGTGGTGAACGAAGGGAAGTGGTGACTTTGGGAAGTGGTGACCAAGGGAAGTGGTGACGAAGGGAAGTGGTGAGGAAGGGAAGTGGTGACCAAGGGAAGTGGTGAGGAAGGGAAGTGGTGACTAAGGGAAGTTGTGACGAAGGGAAGTGGTGAGGAAGGGAAGTGGTGACGATGGTGACGATGGGAAGTGGTGACTTTGGGAAGTGGTGACTTTGTAATGGGCTGCATGAATGTTGCGTGGGGCTTGTGTTGGGGAGGAAGCAGGAGCACGAAAGCTTGGGTTTTTCCGTGTAAAGTGGCTGCGGCCGGCGATGAAAGGTACCTTGTGTGTGTGCGGCGGGTGCGGCCGATCTTTTCAGCCGCGAATGTGTTCCTCCTCTGTGTTCTGCAACGAGTGGTTGTTCCTGTGTGCGTAGTTCTATGCGTGTCTTGACCCAGTGGTTGCAGATGGCAGTGGAATGGCTGCATGATTGTTGTCATCTGGTGTTGCCATGTGCGTAGATCCGTGCAGGTTTGCGACGTGATGCGGCGAAACGCATTGTAATGGCTGCGTGAATGTTGCATGGGGCTTGTGTTGGGGAGGAAGCAGGAGCACGAAAGCTTGTGTTTTTCCGTGTGAAGTGGCTGCGGCCGGCGATGAAAGGTACCTCGTGTGTGCGGCGGGTGCGGCCGATCGTTTCAGCCCCGAATGTGTTCCTCCTCTGTGTTCTGCAACGAGTGGTTGTTCCTGTGTGCGTAGTTCTATGCGTGTCTTGACCCAGTGGTTGCAGATGGCAGTGGAATGGCTGCATGATTGTTGTCATCTGGTGTTGCCATGTGCGTAGATCCGTGCAGGTTTGCGACGTGATGCGGCGAAACGCATTGTAATGGCTGCGTGAATGTTGCATGGGGCTTGTGTTGGGGAGGAAGCAGGAGCACGAAAGCTTGTGTTTTTCCGTGTAAAGTGGCTGCGGCCGGCAATGAAAGGTACCTCGTGTGTGCGGCGTGGGGCTGCGGTCGTTTCAGCCGCGAATGTGTTCCTCCTCTGTGTTCTGCAACGGGTGGTTGTTCCTGTGTGCGTAGTTCTATGCGTGTCTTGACCCTGTGGTTGCAGATCGCAGTGGAATGGCTGCATGATTGTTGTCATCTGGTGTTGCCATGTGCGTAGATCCGTGCAGGTTTGCGACGTGATGCGGCGAAACGCATTGTAATGGCTGCGTGAATGTTGCATGGGGCTTGTGTTGGGGAGGAAGCAGGAGCACGAAAGCTTGTGTTTTTCCGTGTGAAGTGGCTGCGGCCGGCGATGAAAGGTACCTCGTGTGTGCGGCGGGTGCGGCCGATCGTTTCAGCCCCGAATGTGTTCCTCCTCTAAGCCATGGCCAAAGCATTTGGGGGTGGTTTCATTTGCTTTTGGGGGCTTCATCCTGCAGCCTCCTTCAAGTGCTGGACTTGAGAGCCGAGCAAAGGCTGTGCCTATAGGTGACAGGCAAGCCTCCCGCCCACAGTTTGCAACAAAACCTTTGCAGATACTGCTGGGGCCTAATTTAGTGCAAAATAAATGGACCTTTACGCACTCAAATGTGACAACATGATGGCTCAAAACCCATTATCATTAAACGTGATTAAACAAATTTACAGTGGAGTTCTCTCCCTGGTTAGTTGCCTGTGATTGATCTTTTGTTTTGTGATGTGATCTAAAGCATTATTGTTATTTATGACCTACTGAGTGATTTCATTCTGACGCAATGTGCTTCCATGTCATGTATATAATCTATTTATATAACCCTTTCTGGAGGTTTTGTTTTGGAATGTGACCTACTAACACTGCTGGCTATAATCCTGATGATTTCATTGTGACTCACTGTGTGATACCAATTGATGCCATGACATATATTTATAAGTTTGTATATATGTATGAAATTTGAAACATTTGTTGATCTGTTTAATTTCAAAAAAAACTCAATTGACCCCATATGATGCCATGTAATCTGACGCAGTTTGACACTGTCTTTTCGTCCGCAGCTCAAACTGAAGGTTGCCAGATGATCACACTGTCAGATGATCACGTTGTCAGATTCAATGCCAATCAGCATTGACTGTTACGTAAATCATGTTGTTAGGTGGCCACCATGTCACAGCTATCTGACAGGTCTCAGGTAAGGGTGAAACATTCAACTCACTGGTTCAGCCAGGAACAGCACACACACACAAAAACAAATTGAGGATTACCAGCATGGCATGGAGTGGTGAACACTGCAAGCACTCTTGGAATACCAGCTAAGGCTGAAACAGGAGGAAAAAAAGCAACTGTCAACTGGCATCTGCCATCTGCCAGTCCATTGCCTGGGAAATTCATGCAGCCTCGAAGCCCACACAAATTCCTGAGATGTGACAGCTAGGGGTGGAACTTACATGGGTCGTAGCCATGGGTCAGAAAGAATCACAAGCAGTTCAAGTAAAGATATCAGTTGAAACTGTTGAGGTGTTAACTGACTTGTCAGATGAAACTATATAAAAAGGGGGAAGCTGCCAGCACAATCCACCAGCTAGCTGAAGATGTCAGTTGAATCTGTCAGATGAAGCTAGACTAGGGCAAGCTTCCATCACAATCTAGTGGTCAAATATGTCAGTTGAAACTGCCGGGATGTCAGTTGAATTTGTCAGATCATTTCGAAAGGAAGTGAAGCTGCCAGCACAATTATACCATCACAGATGCCAGCTGAAACTGCTTCAACTCTCAGTTGAATCTGTCAGATGGAAACTAGAAAGAGGGAAATGCCAGCACAATCTGCCAGTTAAAGATGTCAGTCGAAACCGAGAGATGTCAGTTGAATTTGTCAGATGAATTCAAAAAAAGTGAAGCTGCCAGCACAATTATACCACTGAAGATGCCAGTTGAGTTTGTTTCAACTGTCAGCTGAAGATGTCAGTTGAATCTGTCAGAAGAAAACTAGAGAGAGGGAAATGCCAGCACAATCTGCCAGTCAAAGATGTCAGTTGAAACTGAGAGATGTCAGTTGGATTCGTCCGATGAAATTCCAAAGGAAGTGCAGCTGCCAGCTCAATTTTACCACTACAGATGACACTGAGACATGTCAGTTGAATTGTCAGATGAAGCTAAAATGAGAGTAAAAGGGCTAAAGCTGCCAGCACAATCTACCGGCCCAACATTCGATGATGTGAAGCTTGGGAACTTCATAAACTTCTCTAAGTTTTGAGCACAGGGACATCCACCATGCAAAGTATGTCTGAACCTGGGCTCAGGCACACTCGGAATTCAGAATTTGTATTGGCACCCACCATTTGCATTCAATGTGAGACCGCATGAGGAGCACATCTATGCTTTCTTCATCTGCTGGATGCCACTTTGTGAAGATGTCAGTTGACGAAGATGTCAGTTGGGAATGCCAGTTGGATCTGCCAGTTGTTGAAGATGCCAGTTGACAATCTACATGCAGTCTGTCATCAAGAAAAATGTATTGGTCTGAGCCGAAGACACAGTGGACGAAGCTCAAGTCCACAAACAGTGTCATGTGTTCCCTGCAGCATTGTCAGGACATGCGTTCAAAGCGGTTCATTGCTTTTCTCAAGACAGTTGCAAATCACGCCTACATCACTTTTGCAAATCAAGACAAGAGCACACTGCAGAGCAGAACCATTTTTCTGTACAAGCCCCTCGTGTCATTTTGTCGTCGTAGAGATTTCTTTTCACCATTAAAGTGAAATAAAATGAATTCACACTGCTGTCATTTCATGGGTTAATTCCGGTGCAGCTATATACACAACTGGCAACTTCAACTGGCAACTTCACTTTGAACCCAAAAAAACCCTGCAGTTGATTGCAGCAAGGATTTGTAATTGTCACACCTGAGTTCGAAGCACTTAAGATTTTTATGGCACACACTCTGTATGATAGATTTCTTATTACAATTTATTACATCAGCAATCCTCCCACTCAAACATTTCCTCCCATGTTGCCAAGGAGGTAAAAATGGTTTCCACCTGGCTAGCAAGCACCCAGTGGTGTTCACCGTCAACGTAAATTTAGGCATAGAGGTACTCTGGGTCATCTGAGTCCACAATGCTCAAGCACGAAGGGGTGCGGTTGCTCAAAGGGAAAGCCACTGGAGGGCCTGAGCACAAGGAACGTCATTGCACATACAGGCTTGGATACGGATCCAGTAAAGCAATGGAAAGCAATCTACAACTTGGTGGCTTCCAAAAACCAAACTAGTAGCAACTAATATGGATGTGTTTTTTGACTTTTTTCATATTAAGTTAGATTTCAGGCGAGTATTTTTTCCAAGGAACATTCACCATTGTCAATCCTCCAAATATTGAATTATTGAAGCCTTTCCTCAGCCTCTTGGGTCAGCATTGGAATAGTGGCATCGTCGAGGTGTGTGGTGTAGATGCTTTGCCTCCATATTCAATACTCCAGATATTCAAACCTTTCGGCCTGGCTCAGCTCTGGAATGATCGCATCGTCAAGGTGAAAGGTAAATATGCTTTGCCATCTTCCAAAAAGATAGACTGTGATGAAGTCTCTTGGTTCTCCATGCATGTAGGCACTTGTTTCGAAGCAGGGACTTGCTGGCTGAAAAATCCACCGCGGAGCTTCAACCTCCAGTGGTGGAGGCTCCATATGATCCGCCAACGCTGCCAGATCTTCACACTCAGGCTCCTCATCTGGCTCTGCACGAGTAGTAGCAGCTGGGGCTGGGGCTGCTGCTGCAGGAACATAAGGTCCAAAAACCGGTCCTCAAGGGCCATTGAGCCAGGATGATGAGGATGAGGACGCCATTAAGCAAAAAGGCCAGACGTCACAAAGCCAGAGCCAAAATTGCTACAACAAAGTGACATGCCATGCCATGCACCTGCCAACTGTTTACTCAAACATGCCACGCACAATTGGCCACTGTCAAGTGCCAATTTCAATGAAACAACAAAAACCCTGCCCTACTATGCCTTCCAAGTGTCTGTCCAAGTCAACTGCCTAGACCACTGGCTCCTTGCGACCTTGTCATCGGGCTAAATCAGGCTAAAAATAATTGTATGCATCCAACTGGCGTTCACGTGCTATTTGGTGTGATGTTCATGGCAGAAAAGGCAACCTAAAGCAAATAACGAAGTCAAACTACTATATGTGCTTTGCTAGTTGGTGGTGCCAGTTGGTGGAAAATCAATGGTTTGCCCCCAAGCCAAATGAATCTCAGCACTCACTGTTATTGCCAGTTCTTGTTGTCAAATAGTTTGCCTGTTTGTGAGCCCGCTGGTGATGATAGGAGAAAATCCAAATGAATCTCAGAACTTTCTGCTGTTGCCAGTTGTTGTTGTCAGTGAGTTTGCCTGTTTGTGAATTTTGTGAGCCAGCTGGTGATGCCTCTTGCTTACTGATAGGAGAAAAATCCAAATTAATCTCAGAACTTACTGTTGTTGTCAGTTGTTGTTGTCAGTTAGTTTGCCTGTTTGAAATGCCAGTTGTTGACGCCTGTTGCTTACTGGATGGGAGAAAAATCCAAATGAATTTCAGAACTTACTGTTGTTGCCAGTTGTTGTTGTCAGTTAGTTTGCCTGTTTGTGATGCCAGTTGTTGATGCCTGTTGCTTACTCTGATAGGACAAAATCCAAATGAATCTCAGAACTTTGTGTTGTTGCCAGTCGTTGTGGTCAGTTAGTTTGCCTGTTTGTGATGCCAGTTGGTGACGCCTGTTGCTTTTAGCAAACTGGATGCCAGTTGATGCAGGTCAGATGTCAGATGAAATCAGTAACGCGCCTGACTGAAGCAGAGGTTCACAGCATCACTAGACCTGAGGCAATCTGAAGTGGGTCAGATGCCACCACTCCAACAGACAACTGGCAACTGACAACTGACATCCAACAGACAACTGACAACAGATTTTCAGCTCAGGACAGCTGGCAACTGACATCCAACAGACCTCAGAAAACGTTGAGGATACGTTTTTGGCACCAATGTCAGTTGAGGTTGACAGTTGGCTTTGCATCAAAATAGAATGTTTAGTGTTGACCTGTGTATACAAGATGTCAGTTGTGAAGTTGTGTAGAAGTAGAATAAAATGGAATCATCCATGACGGCTGATTAAACTCATTGGTTGTTCCTGCCACCTTTCCTCTTTGATGTCAGATGTCAAGTTAGAACTGCATCGCAAACCAGCGCCTCACGATTGATTTAGTACATGTAGAACCCAGCCTGGAATGTGAATTCAAAACTTCGAAGTTGTTATTGCTTTGTTTTGTTTGAAGGTAGTGGAAGCTGCCAAGAATCATATTGCCAAAACCACTAAAATCACTATGACTATAACCATTGCAACCACCACCCAAGATGGAATTTAGAACAGCAAGCAGCTAACCCGGTAGGGTCAGGCGCATCGAGAAGATTTTGTTGCAAAAGGTGGGACAGTGATGTTGAAGAATATTGTTTTATTGTCTTATCCATCCTGTGCTTGTCACACAACGAATCAAAGATCATCTCACCCGGTTTTGGTTTCTACCGTGTTGGCTTGTAGCGATGCTCCAAAAAGTTGTAACGTTGCCGAGCGTCTCAAACCCGCAAACAAACTGGAATGGTTGGGCAATGTTGGGCATTTAAACATACAGGATATAAATTTTAGAAGCAATTGCTGACCCAAACTTCATCAACCAGAAGCAATGGTTTTTCATTCATGAAGTAATTTCATTTTTTTGTTTTGATGCGATTAAACCAACGCGAGTCTGAGAATCTGACAAGCCAGATTAGACTGAGAGCCATGAGACAGCTAGCCAGCCGCACCTCAGGTTTGGAAGAACAAGCCAGGCAAGGCAGACGTAGAAACTAAGCAAGCAACAGCAGTTTTCCTAGCCAAGACACGCGTATTCTGAATCAGATGCCCCTGAAAAAAGGACGATTAATGCTGATATTGCAAGATACGGAATGATTTGGCAGCGCAAGATCTCAGATTTTAACCTGCACATGTGTGCATCAGGAGGTATGGCAGTTGATTCTTGCTACTTCAAAAACTAGCTGCTGACCGTAGGATTCTGGGCTCTTAAGTGAACATGCCAGAATCCTATGGCAACTGGGAGTTGCCATAGGATTCCCCTAGGGTATGCAATTTTTGTATGACCACCATTGGCTCATACAGACAATGCATACCCTAGGGGAATCCTATGGCAACGCCCAGTTGCCATAGGATGCTGGCATGTTCGGGGGGGGTCAGAATCCTACGGTTGGCATCAAGTATCACAAAAGACTCCATGCCAATCAAACCCACCAAAACAGAAGTGATGGAATCTGAGCAGCAAATCCCAGGTCTACGGCAACTCCCAGTTGCCATAGGATTGGTGGAAGTTGTGCAGCAATTCCAAATCCCAGGTCTACGGACACCCCAAATCCCAACTCCCAGTTGCATAGGATTGGTGGAAGTTGAGCAGCAATTTGCAATTCCAAATCCCAGGTCTACGGTAACCTCAAATCCCAGATCTACAGCAACTCCCAGTTGCCATAGGATTGGTGGAAGTTGAGCGGCAATTCCAAATCCCAGGTTTACGGCAACCCCAAATCCCAGGTCTACGGCAACCCCAAATCCCAGGTCTACGGCAACCCCAAATCTCAGGTCTACGGCAAGTCTAAATCCCAGGTCTGCGGCAAGTCTAAATCCCAGTCTACGGCAACTCCAAATCCCAGGTCTACGGCATGTCTAAATCCCAGGTCTACGGCAACCCCAAATCCCGCAACCCTAATTCGCAGGTAGTCGTCTACATCCCGGGTCTACAGCAAATGCAAAAAATGAGAGGCACATGCCTTCCCAAGTGGGAGTTTCGAGTGAAGGTCAGTTGGAGTAGTGTGGATTGTCTAAAGCAAAGAGAAACCCATTCGCACGTGAACACTCAATCTATGCCATGTTGAAAGACTGTTGATGCCACATTAAAAATGGTCTGAGACTGCAGCAATGTTGGGCGACGGCCTTGCAAGCATCCAAGATGGAAAGGAAGCTCAGCCATAATATGGCATTAAGTTATCGTTACTACTGCTGATTAGTAATGACAAATGATTCGAACGATTGTGTCATTTTTATTTATTGATTATCTGCACATTGAACACAAATACAAGTCAAGACGGGCGAAATGGCACACACTTTCTCATTTCCATGGCTTCTACAGTAGATCTGTTAGGCCATTCCCGGCTGGTCCACTCAGGGGCCATTCCAGCTGAATCAGGAATAATCCAAGAAGCTACACAATCCCTTGAGGAAATTGAGCAAATTACAGGAGCTTTGCTCCAAAAAATGCAGGGCCATCAAACTCACTGTTAAATTGAAAATTCTTCTGACATTTATGCAACGATCCAATTGACGTTTTTTAAATCAAATTTGAGATTGCTGTTGGTAGCAGCTGGTACCATTTATTTTGCAGTCTTTGCAGGCTGGTCAACAACTGGCAACTGGCAACATTTTGATGGCCAGACACCAGCTTCACCGCTCAGGCAGACCATGCAAGATCCGAAAGTGCTTGTTGTCATTTTCCATGAGCGATTCAACCATTCGCAACATTGTGTTCCACGAGTCAACGGAATCATCTGGCATCAGACCTTGTTTAACTCAACAGACTTAGAGTCTCACGTGTCACATATACTAGTTACTTAGTTACTAAACATGGTTCCATGGGAGGTGTCTTTTGCCAGCTTAAAATTTAAAACCATTCTGAAACGACTCTGAAACTGCAACCTGAAACAATTCTGACACTTCATCCCAAGTTTCCTGCAGCATCAACATACAGGCAAGTTTTATGAAGGACGTGTCCGAAGCGGTGCAGCTTCTGCCACAACTCCTTCAATATGTCATCCTTGTCGCTGAGCAACATCCTGAGCAGCTCGTCACCATCCTTGACGACCTTCACCAAGGCTTCCCAATAAGCGCCTCATCCAGGGACAACAGAGCAAGTGATGCCAATTCACTTACCAACCAGCTCTTTCTCACGTTACTTTACTTTCAATTTTTAATGGTAGCTAAAAAATGCAAATATGATCCATCTTGATCCAAGTGTCCACAAGTGTCTGCAGCGGGGTGATATTCGTGACAAGCAGTTGGGAGAATGATCTGCAGGGCATACGTTGAAATGCCGTTGCCAACGGCTTCCAGTTCCGGATCTGCGTGAAACTTTCTATGGAAACGAAGCTTGGATCCGATCGGAAGCCCCTGTTTGAAGAACATGTAGATGAAGGCCTTGGACAGAGCCGGTTGAAGGCGCTGCAAGCTGTTGTGAAGGTCCAACAGCTCTTCGCCCAAAGACCGTCCTTGTGCCATGGCCCAAAGCTGTTGTGAAGGTCCAAAGCTGAGTTAAGCGGTGCACTGGCCAAAACTTGTGCCCAAATTTCCAACAAGAGAACTACACCAAACAACTGACAACACACCACCGGCAGCACATCATGAATTGGGCAGCTATAACACTTAACTTAACATTTATCTTCAGACATTTAGTCAAGTTCATTTTTTGTGAACATGTGGCTACATCTGGCATTTTGCATCTGACAAAAACATGCGCCGCTCCAATGCTAAATTTCATAATTCTGGGTCACTTCAGGCAGTTTTGGGATTATATCTGGCGTTGACTTTTCAAAGGCCAGCGGAAACCTGCGCGCTATGGAAACAAGTCTGCATTTTCTTTCAAAGTGTTTGATGGAAAAAGCAATGATATACAAGTACAAAAAAATGTCACTTTGAAAACCATCATTTGACCTTAGGGCATTTCGCATGAAATTGAGTATACTTCGCCAATGGATTTCAACCCCAAACTGATGCGAAAGGAACGGGCTGATACAAAACTGTGCGCCACTTTTTTTCCATTGGCTGGTTTCATCGACTCGTGGAAAATAAAAACCCAAAGATATGGAAACACACAAAGACAACACCACCCAAAAGTTCCTGCGGTTCTGGAACTATATCCCAAAAAACAAGACAGCGTAAAAATCACCAAAACAACTTATCTCGCCAAGAAAACTGGACCAACTTCAGGCAAAAACCACAACTCGCATTTTTCAAACAAAAAAAACTCACAGTTCTACATGTGCATTCGGGGACCATGCTCCTCAAGAGCCGGGAAAAACATAACCGGAGGAGAAACCTCCAAAACTCCAGCCACTAAAACGGCAGTTTTCAGGACAGCAAAATCCACCAACAGCTTGGATAAACACTTTGAACCACTAGAATTACACCCACAGAAACGCCAAAAACCGAAAACTAATAATAGTTCCAGAACAAACATTACCAACATATATTTGATAGAAGAGCCCATACAAAACCCCGAACCCCGTGAACGGGAAACAGACCCCACCAAAAACATTGAAAAAATCCCAAGTTCTGGAGTTGTATCTCTTTAAGAACACAAGCAGACAAGACTTACAATTACAGATAACAGGAGTATGAAATTGCAAAAAAGAACACATTTTTTTCTGCAGTTGATTATATATAAACTATATCCGAGACTATAGCTCATGGAAAAGCGCAGCAAAAAAGTCAACCTGTGGAAAAGAATCGAATTTCCCGAGTTGTAAATGTACTTCCAAACCCGAGAGTAACGCCATAGAGAAGAAAAAAACAGAAAATCAGGAGTTTTATCATCCAAAACCCAGACGAAAACAGAAACCCGGACAAACACGTATTTACTATAAATGCAAAACAGGAATACAAATCCAAACCGCGGAGGGAAGGACATTCCCGGAAAAATCCCCAGGCAGGGGAAGAAGAAAAGTCACAAAAAACAATGCTGTATTTCCATGTTTCTTGACACCATTCAAGCCCAATTCCTGAAAATTAAAACTTCGACGAGAGAATGAGCAGTTCAAACATAAAACCTTCCCCAAGTCCGAGAGAAAACATAAAACCCAAAATATAGTTGCTGAAAGCTTGGAACTATGCCCCAAAACGGCTAAAATCAGCCGAAACCCAACAAAAATACAATGCCGAAGAAAGTCTGAAACTACATCTCCTCCACAAGCCAGGTAAGACAAAAATGCAAGAACACAAAGTTCAAGAAATTCTGGAAGTATGTCACCTTCAGTTCGGGAACAAAAAACGATCAAATTATATATGTCCAAACGGGCAGAATATGCAGAATCCAGGAAAAAACTTGAGAAACTTATAGCTCCAGAATTTCCGGAACTATAAGTCCAAAGTGGCAGAATCCAGAAAAAACCTGAGAAACTTATAGTTCCAGAATTTCTGGAACTAATAGTCCACACAGGCAGAATACAGAAAAAACTTGAGAAACTTATAGTTCCAGAATTTCTGGAACTATAAGTCCAAACTGGCAGAATCCAGAAAAAACTTGAGAAACTTATAACTTATAGTTCCAGAATTTCTGGAACTATAAGTCCAAGCAGGCAGAATACAGAAAAAACTTGAGAAACTTATAGTTCCAAAATTTCTGGAACTATAAGTCCAAACTGGCAGAATCCAGAAAAAACTTGAGAAACTTATAGTTCCAGAATTTCTGGAACTATAAGTCCAAGCAGGCAGAATACAGAAAAAGACTTGAGAAACTTATAGTTCCAGAATTTCTGGAACTAAAAGTCCAAGCTGGCAGAATCCAGAAAAAATCTTGAGAAACTTATAGTTCCAGAATTTCCGGAACTATAAGTCCAAAGTGGCAGAATCCAGAAAAAAACTTGAGAAACTTATAGTTCCAGAATTTCTGGAACTATAAGTCGAAACAGGCAGAATACAGAAAAAGACTTGAAAAACTTATAGTTCCAGGATTTCTGGAACTATAAGTTCAAACTGGCAGAATCCAGAAAAAAACTTGAGAAACTTATAGTTCCAGAATTTCTGGAACTATAACCAAACTGGCAGAATCCAGGGAAGACAGTTCAAAAACACATTATATTAGTTTCAGAATTTCCGGCAGAATCCAGGGGAAAAAATCGAGAACCAAAATATCATGGTTGTTTTTAATGGGGAACAATCATATCCAGGAAAACACAGAACAACATATGCCATCAAAAATATATCACCAAACAAAGCCGTATTCACCAAACAAGTGCTGTATTATCCGGAAAAAAATGTATTTCCACAAAAAACATATTCACCCCCTAAGAAAATACATTCTCCCCGCAAAAAAGACAAAACAGTTGTATTCCACCCAAAAGAAATATATATTCAAAAAAACAAAGAAATATTCCCAAAAAGTTATATTCCCCAAAAAATGATATCAAGAAACTATATTCCCAATAAAAGTTCGATTCCCGAAACAAACAATTATATCGCCCCGGAAAAGATTTATTCCCACCAAAAAAAAATCTAAAAAAAAACATATATTACCCAAAACAGTTACAAAATCGGTTATATTCCCAAAAAAAAACCAAAAAAAAACTATATTCCCAAAAAAAATATATATTCCCCAAAAAAAAACTATATTCCCAAAAAAAAGTTATTCCCAAAAAAAGCAATATTTCCAAAAAAAATATATTCCAAAAAAAAAAATATATTCCCAAAAAAAAGTTATATTCCCAAAAAAAAATATATCCCCCAAAAAAAGTTATATTCCCCAAAAAAAATATATTCCCAAAAAAAAGTTATATTCCCAAAAAAAATATATATTCCCAAAAAAAAGTTATATTCCCCAAAAAAAGTTATATTCCCAAAAAAAAAGTTATTTTCTCAAAAAAAAAGTTATATTCCCCAAAAAAAGTTATATTCCCCAAAAAAAATTATATTCCCAAAAAAAAGTTATATTCCAAAAAAAAGTTATTGTTCCAGAAATTCTGGAACTATATCCAATTCTGGCAAAATGATAGGTATTGAAAACCAAATCTCGACCAGATCTTGGACCCAAAATTTCAAAAGCCAAATCACTACCCTAGAAAATTGCAGTCTTGTAGGGTAGTGATTTGGCTTTTGGGCCCAAGATCTGGTCGAGATTTGGTTTTCAATACCTATCATTTTGCCAGAATTGGATATAGTTCCAGAATTTCTGGAACTATAACTTTTTTTTGGGAATATAACTTTTTTTTGGGAATATAGTTTTTTTTTGGAATATAACTTTTTTGGGGAATATAACATTTTTTTGGGAATATAACTTTTTTTTTGGGAATATAACTTTTTTTTTGGGGGAATATAACTTTTGTTTTGGGAATATAGTTTTTTTGGGGAATATTTTTTTGGGGGGAATATATATTTTTTTGAAATATAACATTTTTTGGGTGATATATTGTTGTTTTTCATGTTTTTGGATAGTAGATTTTTCCGGGAATATTTGTATTTTGGTAGCAGGTTTTTGTTTTTTTTTGGCATTTCACTTTTTTGAGGAATTAAACTTGTTTTTTTGGAATATAACTTTTTCGGAGAATATGGTTTTTTGTTCGTAAAAATATTTTGTTTGTAATATATATATGTGTGTTTTTTGCTTTCTTTCTTTTGAGCATATATTTGTTTTCTTGAAATTTGACATGTTTCCTGAAAACTCATCAACATGTTTTTTTATTTTTTCTCAAGTAAATGTGTTGTTTTCTATTTCTTCTTGTGTTTTGGCACTGTTTTCATCTTTTTTCCACAACCTGTGTGAATTCCAAGTGTTTCTCTTGCATTCTTCCTTCTTGTTGGTGTTTGGGCCAGGTGGCTTGTTTTGCTTCTTCCCGTGATAACACAAGGAAATTCTTGGTGTGGATTGGCACATCTCTCCACCAAGACATGGTTTCACTTGCCTACTTGCCACTGAAGCTTCGGACCAGAAAATGTACAGTGTGCGTTGGGCTGCCTGGATGCAGAAAGGACGGATGAGATAGCCACTAGTTTTATGAACAACGTTTTCAGTTTGTTTTTCTGGTTTATAATTCCGGGATGTCTGGAACTGCAGCTTTCGTCCGGGTTGTTTTTTGGGTTTGGGGTGATACAGTTCCAGATCTTTTGAATTTGAAATTGTGTTTCGGATTTTTATTTGTTTTCAGGTTTTGGTCGATATAGTTCTGGGATTTCCGGAATTATTTTTTTCAACCTGTTTTTTTTTGGGTTTTGGATGATATAGTGCCGGAAATTCTGGAACCATCACCTTTTTCGTTTTTTTTCTCTGGGTTTGGTTGGAGTGATATTTTATATATACGAGATTTCATTTTCCCGGTTTGAGGATTTTTTTGGTAGTGATTTTCATTTTTCCGGGTTTGGGTGAATATGGCACACCCTTTCCAGTTTTTTCTCTTTTTTCCTGGGTATGGGGATATAGTTCTAAAAAATCTGCAAGTATCTTGAAGTTCACATTTTCCTGGCTTCGAGATGTTGTTCCAGAGTTTCTGGAACTATATTCTTTTTTTTCA